ACATTGCACAATATATGTTTTCTAACTGTATAATATAATAGTTGTTTTATTTTGCAAAACATTTGTTAACAGCTTTTGGAAATATTGTATATAAAACTGCGTCATGGATTTAGAGGAAATTTGTGTTTTTCTCTGGTCAATGTGATTGCCAGAATATAAATAAAAAGGCAGTGTTTAACCCATTCTTTTATGTGTTTTAAAACTCACAAAACCATTCCAAACCAGTGTCTACATTTTAACAAACTTATCTTCTAATTATAGACATTTTTAGCAGGTAGATTTGCTTTTGAATAATATGTAAAATTACTCACATTCCATGCAGACTGAGTGCCTCCCCATGCAAAGATCATGTATAGTTTAAGTGTACCACCCCACCAGCCAGAACCGGTGCAGGTCTGGTGGTCCGCTACGGGCAGGTATAATAGCACCATGAGGTTAGACATTTTTCCACCAGCTGACAGCRCAAAACAAGAGACTTGCAGAATGAGACAAAGAAGGTTATGTTAGTCATTTTATATTTCTTAGTTAAAGGTTTGAGTAGGAGTTGATTTACTTGATGTTCATCCATAGCCAGTGATGTAGGGGTGGTCATGAAGCAGGATCTCACCTATTTTTTGGCAGATTAACGAGACAAACAGGAGTTTACAGAAACTGCTGAAGACATCTGCAACAGAGCAATGTCACTGCTGAAGATTTAAAAAATAGCACTTTTTACATTCCTGTTGTTGATAAGGAATCAAACTGGAAAGTCTTTATCACAAATTCATCACAAACAAGTCATGATTGGCAAAAATATAACCTTGATGAGTTTTAAAAGGGTTATATCATGTAAAATCAACTTTTTAAAGTTTTATATCATGTTATAATGTTATACTCTCATAAAAAACATGCCCAAAGCCTTGCTCTGACTCATTCATGCATGTTTGTGAAATCCTGCAGTGTTTTTAGGGAGCCATGCTGATTTGCAAACCGAGGTGGGGAAACGCCTTGTGGGACCAGAAACGCCCCTGGGACGTGTCTTTAAGCCGAACTTCCTCATGGCAGAGCGCACCCCCTCCCCACACAGCCCGCCCATGACTCCTGCAGGCTCTCAGGTCAAAGTGAAAGTGAAACCTAGCTGGTGAGCTCTGAACATTAGTTC